GACCGGGCGTAGCCACACTCGGTTCAACTAAAGTTGAAGAAACTGACACCCGCCAGCCACCTATGTGCAAAGCACGTCGGTAGAACCAGTCTCGCGTAAACATACGCGTAATGTCGGTCCGGGCCGCTTCATCCAACAATACCGCCGAACCAAAGTATGATATGCTGGTAAGAAGTATGACTTGTATCGCACACAACTCATTTGTGTTCTACTCGTGCATATTACGCATAAACCCAGGCTCGGATGCTATTGTTGGGGAACGTAGTAATTTCAAAAAAAATCCTACGCACACGCAAGATCATGGTGATGCATAGCAACGAGAGGGAAGAGTATCGTCCACGTACCCTCGTAGACCGTAAGCGGAAGCGTTATGAGAACGCGGTTGATTTAGTCGAACGTCTTCACGATCCGACCGATCCAAGTACCGAACGCACGACACCTCCGAGTTCAGCACACGTTCAGCTCGATGACGTCCCATGAACTCCGATCTAGCAGAGCTTCATGGGAGAGTTCCGTCAGCATGACGACGTGTTGGCGGTGATGATGTTGCTACCGACGCAGGGCTTCGCCTAAGCACTGCTACGATATGATCGAGGTGGATTATGGTGGAGGGGGGCACTGCACACGGGTGAGGGATCAACGATCAACTTGTGTGTCTAGAGGTGCCCCCTGCCCCCGTATATAAAGGAGCAAGGGGGAAGGCCGGCCGACCCTCTATGGCGCGCCAGGAGGAGGAGTCCTCCTCCTAGTAGGAGCAGGACTCCCCTCTTTCCTACTCCTACTAGGAGGGGGAAAGGAAGGGGGAGATGGAGAAGGAAAGGGGGCACCCCCCCCCCTTCTAGTCCAATTCAGACCGGAGGGGGAGGGGCGCGCGGCCTGCCCTAGGCCAGCTCTCTCTCTCCACTAAGGTCCATAAGGCCCATTATTTCTCCAGGGAGGGGGGGGGTCGGTAACCCTCGGCACTCCGGTTTTCTCCGAAATCATCCGGAATACTTCCGGTGTCTGAATATAGTCATCCAATATATCGATCTTTACGTCTCGACCATTTCGAGACTCCTCGTCATGTCCGTGATCATATCCGGGACTCCGAACTACCTTCGGTACATCAAAACACAAAAAAACTCATAATACCGATCGTCACCGAACTTTAAGCGTGCGGGCCCTACGGGTTCGAGAACTATGTAGACATGACCGAGACACGTCTCCGGTCAATAACCAATAGCGGAACCTAGATATTCATATTGGCTCCCACATATTCTACGAAGATCTTTATCGGTCAAACCGCATAACAACATACGTTGTTCCCTTTGTCATCGGTATGTTACTTGCCTGAGATTCGATCATTGGTATCTCAATACCTAGTTCAATCTCGTTACCGGCAAGTCTCTTTACTCGTTCTGTAATGCATGATCCCGCAACTAACTCACTAGTTACAATGCTTGCAAGGCTTATAGTGATGTGCATTACCGAGTGGGCCCAGAGATACCTCTCCGACAATCGAAGTGACAAATCCTAATCTTGATCTATGCCAACTCAACAAGTACCATCGAAGACACCTGTAGATCACCTTTATAATTACCCAGTTACGTTGTGACGTTTGGTAGCACACAAAGTGTTCCTCCGATAATCGGGAGTTACACAATCTCATAGTCATAGGAACATGTATAAGACATGAAGAAAGCAATAGCAGTAAACTAAAACGATCAAGTGCTAAGCTGACGAAATGGGTCAAGTCAATCACATCATTCTCCTAATGATGTAACCCCGTTTATCAAATGACAACTCATGTCTATGGTTAGGAAACATAACCATCTTTGATCAACGAGCTAGTCAAGTAGAGGCATACTAGTGACACTCTGTTTGTCTATGTATTCACACATGTATCATGTTTCCGGTTAATACAATTCTAGCATGAATAATAAACATTAATCATGATATAAGGAAATAAATAATAACTTTATTATTGCCTCTAGGGCATATTTCCTTCACATGAAACCTCCTCCTCCTCTGCCTCCTCTTCCTCCTCATTCTCTTCCTCCGCCTCTTGCTTCGACACCTCCTCATTCGCCTTTGTCTCGTCCTCCCACACAAGGTGAGCGGCACGACGTTCCTCCGCGATGTGCATCTCCCGCGCGATCTTCGTCCGACGCTCAAGCATTAACATTTTGTAATAGGTAATCTTTTGCCGGACCATGGCGGACAACAAGACTGGAGAGGAAGGGGAAGGAGACGCGGGATCTGGTGGCAACACAAACTAGAGGGAAAGGGGGTTGGCTAGGGTTTGCCCTCGCAGTCCGGTTCAAATAGTCCCATCGAGCAGCGTGTCGGGACTCGGGACGACACCATGAATGCAATCACTGAACTGGTAACCTCTCCCAGCAGACCGAAGGGTTTCCACGTGGATCCCACCCATCGATTCAACATGAAGGGCGCGTCCGCGCTTTGACATATCCATCCTACATATGGATTGGGTATTGAGGGTGTCGGATAACCCGAACGTATGGGCATGATTTGAGAGTCCCGGTTGGATAGTGTTTTTTCAATTCGAGCGATGTCCGGGCTGTCCGCCTTGACGCTTGGAGGGAATTTAGGGTCGGCGTCCATCCTTCGCCTCTGACGCATCCCGCCTCCCATCCTTCGCCTTTGACGCTGGTGTCATAGCTGGGCATACTCCCTTCTCCGGCCGGATTTCTTAATTTGCTTCTGCCATCAGCGGGTTGCTCTACCCCACTACATCACCCCCACCGCCGCTCCAGCAACTCGTGTAACATGGACTTGTATCTTTTCTACATTGTGACTACCATCACTCTATGGATGTATAACTAGGCACAGTTGTCGTGAGAAGAACTGTCCATGTTCGCGGTTCAGAGCTTTGCACGTTGAGTTTTGATGTCATGTGCTCGAGCCGTGTATCCAAACCTGCACATCCCTTAAAAAAGCTACATAGGAGCATACGCTCACGCGTACGCCTCATCTCGAGGTCCGCATGGCCGCATCAGGCACACACGGTTCTTAACTTGATGTTTCAACCGGCGGCGTTAAATTTTGGTGCCATGTTAGTGCTTTCGGCAACGCGATTACTGAAAATCAGCGTTTTCGGCAAACTTTTATGAAAATGATAGATTTCCGCACCAAGCAACCCAATTGTGGTGTTTTTTTTGGCAATTTAACTCCACCTCGGTCCCCAAGGAGAGATGATCACGAAGAAACTGCCAAACAAAGATCTTGATCTGTACCGAAATTGCAAAACCTGCTCGCTGGTACTTACGAATTCCATCTTTAGGGGCGTAATCCTTCCCTAACCTTAGTCCCCCATGTTGACACGGGTATGTCGTACAGAAAAACTATCCGCAACGAGAAGACAAAAATGCAGCACATGCAAATCGAAACCTGCACACATCCCTCACAAAAACTACGCAGGAGCATACGCACAGGCAGGGGCCTCATCTTCCAGGCCCGCATCAGGCACACTCGGTTGCTTCACTCTCCAGGCTCGGGAGTCCGCACACCGCGTCTAGCTTCTCCTGCATTGTTCTCGACGCGAGCGCATTGGTTCCGTTGCGCTTGAGGAAGCCGGCGTACCAGCGAGCCGAGAGCCTGGCTTGCCGCGGCCGCCTCCCGTCGGCGAAGTCGACGCGGTACAGCCCGTACCTCGACTGGTACCCCGACAGGAGCTCGAACAGGTCCATGAATGCCCACGCGAAGTAGCCCCTCACGTCGGCTCCGTCCCTGCACAACAAACAAACAGAGAATCACACATCGAATGGTGGAATAATATCTTCTTTTGTCCCAAAGAACCGTACGCAGGCTAGAAATCTGTAACTTCCGATGAATCCCATTGCTTTTGAAAATGAATGATCGATCGGGTAGAGCTTCTGGCATACGCACCTCATCGCGTTTAGTGTGCTCTCCATGTAGCTGCGTAGGTAACCGATCCTGTCGGCGTCATCTAGGCCGTCATAGGCAGACCCCATACCTGAAACAGACCACATGACTACGTACATGAGTAACGATGCACCTTTCTTCTTCAGCTGAGACTTTTGCTTCTGGTTGGGAGTACGCTTGCCATTCTCCTGGACATAGACCGGAATCGCGTAGGTTTCTTTCAGGTACTCCAGTACAAGTTGCAGCCCTTTGGGGTCACTTGGGACATTTGTTGGGGCACTCTGCACTCCGATAAACAAAGATTATCTTTGATGGTTACTGTCAAGCTAATGATCTTAGGTTTTTAAGTGGGTTTTCTCTTTTCTAATCTCTTGATCAAGTTCAGAACATATAACCCAATAGATGTATGGTGAATGACCAAAATAACTTCATTTTTAGCAACTTCTTTGCACATAACATCGATGACATGATTTTTCTTACCGGACTAAGTGGTGGGTCTGTCCTAGAACCTGCATCATACAAAGGAATCACTAGTTAGAACTTTTCTGTTACACTAGTGTATAATGCAGTGAATAAATAGCATACTTTGTGTAATGTAGTGCACTAAAATAACATCTTTAAAGGGATGACTGAATACTGCACTCACTCAGAGAAATACACAATTTACATGACTGATGAATCTGGAAAGGTTGCTAGCCGGTTTGTCTTAGCAATTTATCATTAGTAGGACGCCGCTCACAGCATCTTGGCTAGCCTATTTTTTGCATGACCTTTTCTACGGTACATTTTACTATCAGAGGAGGAGAGTAATATAAGTCTCAACCAACCATTCATTTTTCAGGGCAATATGGTCTAGATAAAAGAATATCATCAAGCCTATGGTTGCGCACAGTTTCTGAAACGTGCAACTACTTAATTAACCGTTAGATGAAGAATCAATGTCCTAGAAAAAAGAGGCACCAAAAAACGAATCAAATTGCACATCCACACAGCACACGACTATGAGCAGTTAAGCAACAATCCTAGTATCAGCATCCAAAAAAGATACTTACCCCTTGAATCAACCGACATGTCCGTGTTATAGTCCCGAACGCCTGTTTCTAGAGGGCGGTCATTCAGTAGAGAGAATAGTAGTGATTTATTCCAATAAAATCTAGAGAACCCTTGATAACTTCAGACTGAACTTTCGAGAAGGATGGAAGGCGAGAGCCAACATTCTTCTTCATTACTTCTGGGTAGTCCCCAAACACCAATGGGTCCAGTATCCTGCCAATACGGCACTTAAGATCTCAACAATGCACAGATCATGTATATTAAAGCTTCCATTGACAGAATGGATGCACAATATCATACCAGCCAAATATGAAATCTTTACATCTCTGGGTTGCATCTAAATCCACTGTGGAATTTGTCAGCGGGTAACTCCAGTAGGAGTACATACTTATGCCAACAACTCCTTTTTGCATGTTCTACGTCAAAAAAGGTTACTTAGTTCTTGAGCAAAGTTAAAATGGTTTAGAATATCGAAGTTCATGAAGAAAATAAGCATCACCAAAACAGTAAGTACAAGATCATCCACTCACTTGATATTTTTCTCTGTACAGACTGGCAACCGATGCATGCGCCATAAGGGTATTATGAGCTGCTATATATGGTTCCACACTAGAGTCCCCAGTGGTGCACTTTGTTGCTCCAAATGGATCCGAGCAACGGTCAGGAGGGAATATACCAACATCATAAGAGGCCATTATACCAATGTTTGGCTCATTCACTGTCGTCCAAGATGCAACTCTATCTCCAAACTCCCGGAAGCAAACATCTGCATATGCTGTGAAATCTTCGCTGCATTTTGTAGATTTGAGGCTATGAATACAACAAACGATTGTGTTGTAAACATGCCAATGACATATAAAATTGCCACTCCAGTTGAGCTATGTATTACCTCCATCTCGAATTAGTTGTCTTAGATTTGTCTAGACATGTATCTAGACAAATCTAAGACAACTAATTTGGGACGGAGGGAGTATTTGGTGGTGAAATCATATATATGCACTTACATAATTCTGGGGCTTAACCATCCACCATACTCGTCTTCAAGAATCTGAGGGAGATCTAGATGGTGAAGTGTGATGTGGACTTGAATTCCTGGGGATAAATATCACAAAGGAGGGTATAAACTTCTACTCCCTCCGTCCGGAAATACTTGTCGGAGAAATGGATAAGTATTTTACATGCACTTCTTAAGAAGGAACATTATTTACACCAATTCATATGAAATATGCACCTAACAATCTATTACTATAAAATTATTTAAATGCTCAAAGATATAACGAAAATACTTGCCATGATTCACTAGCTCATCAATGAGGTTATTGTAGTACTCCAGCCCTCTGGGATTGACAGCTCCGCGTCCATCTGCACACCAGAAAGTTAAACAATGAGATCAGTTACAAAACTAAAGCAGTTTGTTCTGTTGAAGGTCATGAGAATTTATGTACTTGGAATGAGCCTTGACCAGGAGACGGAGAACCTATAGGCCTCTAGGCCTGTCTCAAACATGAGCTTGATATCCTCCTACAAATTCAGATAAGCCAAATTTCTTGTAGAACTACTAAAGCAGAGAAATGCTCAAGATTTTACAAGGCCCCATACTATGTACCATATATTTGTGGTACCCATCCGCGGCAACATCTCCCGTGCTTTTGTCTGGCATTTTGCCTGCAAGAACAGATCAAACTGTGAAAGTTGAGCTAAACTACAACAAACACTTCTTGGTCAACCGTGTCAAGTGCTGGCCATGGCTATTGCCAATGCCAACTTGCCATGTTCAGTTACTCTATAGATTTAGTTATGCTTCAGCAACGGAAATGGTGTGTTAATTGTTCTACCAAGAGGGGACTCATCTCAAATATCCACTCAACGCATCAGGCAAAACTGACAATGCCTTTTCTTACGCATATGGGATATCCAGAGTCTTGACAGTCATATGGGAAAGCTAGAGGGGGGGGGGGGGACAGTCTAACCCCTTCTGTTGATGTTTTTGGATGTACTGTAGGTACGTTCCCAATAAAATATCTAGGAATTCCACTACATTATGATAAGCTGAGAAGGGAAGATATTCAACCCCTTATTGATAAAATTTTGAAGAGGATGGCTGGTTGGAGAGGAAAACTACTTTCCTACTCAGCCAGACTAACTCTGATCAAGGACAAGTTTGACCTTATTGATGTTAAGCATGGAAAATATATCATCCAGTTAGACCTATTGGATAAAAACATGAAATGCTGCCGGTCCCTGATGGTAGTATATGGAGCGGCTCAGGATGAGAATAAGCCCGAGTTTATTGCTGAATTATCTCATATGTGCCATACCACTCGTATCCCGTACTTAGTGGGTGGGGATTTCAATATACTTCGTCACAGCGGTGAGAAGAATAAAAGGACGCCCATGTCTCATTTCTCGGATGTGTTTAATTCTGTCATCCATTTGCTTGGGCTTTGGGAGATCTATATGAATGGAGGGGTATACACGTGGTCGAACAAGCAGGAGAATCCCACTCTGGAGAAGCTGGATAGAGTTTTGATGTCACCAGATTGGGAAGACTTATATCCCCTTGTCTCGGTTAGCAAACTAGTTAAGGACCTATCTGATCACAACCCCCTGTTATTGGATGGGGGGCGGGCTGCAGCTAGAGCACCAGGGAGTACGTGCTTTAGATTTGATAACAACTGGCTTAATAATCCAGCCTTTCTACCTTTGGTTGCTGATATTTGGTCGAAACCTGTGTATACTGATGATCCCATAAATACCCTGAATATTAAACTGAAAAGAGTTAAGAAGTTTTTTAAAGGGTGGGGTTCTAATATATTTGGGAACAACAAAATTAAGAGAAAAATTATCAGACTTGAATTGCAAGAATTGGAAAAGCTTGAGGAAATTGTTGGGCTGTGTGGGGAGGCTTATACCAGAAAGCTGGATATATTGAATGAACTAAATAATATGTATGTGGAGGAAGAACTTTTTTGGCACCAATTCTCTAATGAGAGATGGTTGTTGAAAGGAGACAATAATACTGGTTTTTTCCATAAAGTGGCCAATGGGAGACGTAGGAAACATTCGATGGTCTCACTTAAGTGTGGAGCTACTGTTATAGAAGGGACAAAAAATCTCTTAGCTCATGCTACTGAATACTATAAAGATCTCTTTGGACCAGCCCCTGGTAATCTATGTCATATAGATGAAAACCTTTGGTCACAAGAGGAAAAAATTACTCCGGAAGACAATGATGACTTGACTCGACCTTTTTCTATTGATGAAATTAAAAAGGCCCTTTTTGATATGAAATCTAACCATGCCCCTGGACCGGATAATATACCCGTTGAATTCTATCAACATTGTTGGGATGTAGTAGCCCCGGACTTATTGGCCTTATTTGAATGGTTTTATGAAGGAAGATTGGATGTGCAAAGGCTGAATTATGGCATTATTATTCTTTTGCCGAAATCTGCTGACCTAGTAAGATCCAGCAATATAGGCCAATATGTTTGCTTCGTTGTCCATACAAGCTTATTACCAAGGTTATGGACATTAGGGCCAGTAAATATGCTTATAAGCTATTCAGCATTCAGCAAAACGCGTTCATTAAAGGGAGGCATATAGTAGATGGCATATTATCTTTACATGAAGTTTTGCATCATGCTCATATTAATAAACAGGTTGGGGTTGTTCTTAAGCTTGACTTCGAGAAAGCTTATGACAAAGTTAATTGGGAGTTTCTGCTGGAATGTCATGAAAAACGTGGGTTTAACCAAAAATGGTGTAGTTGGTGTTGGGGAACGTTGCAGAAAACAAAAATTTTCCTACTCGTTTCACCAAGATCATCTAGGAGTTCATCTAGCAACGAGTGATTAGATGCATCTACATACCTTTGTAGATCGCGAGCGGAAGCGTTCAAAAGAACGGTGATGATGTAGTCGTACTCGACGTGATCCAAATCACCGATGACCAGCGCCGAACGGACGGCACCTCCGCGTTCAACACACGTACGGGACGGGAGACGTCTCCTCCTTCTTGATCCAGCAAGGGGGGAGGAGAGGTTGATGAAGATCCAGCAGCACGACGGCATGGTGGTGGATGCAGGGCGTCACAGCAGCAGGGCTTCGCCGAGACTACGAGGGAGAGACGTAACGGGGGGAGGTGGAGGCGCCAGGGGCTGGTGTGTGAAGTCCCTCCTCTCCCCCACTATATATAGGGGTGCCAAGGGGGGCTGGTGCGCAGCCTAGGAGATCTGATCTCCTAGGTGCGGCGGCCAGGGGAGGGTTTCCCTCCCCCCCAAGGCACCTCGGGGTGCCTTCCACCACTAGGACTCCTCCTAGGGGGAAACCCTAGGCGCATGGGCCTATAGGGGCTGGTGCCCTTGGCCCATCTAGGCCAAGGCGCACCCCCTACAGCCCATGTGGCCCCCCGGGACAGGTGGCCCCACCCGGTGGACCCCCGGGACCCTTCCGGTGGTCCCGATACAATACCGATAACCCCGAAACTTGTCCCGATGCCCGAAATAGCACTTCCTATATATAATTCTTTATCTCCGGACCATTCCGGAACTCCTCGTGACGTCCGGGATCTCATCCGGGACTCCGAACAACATTCGGGTTTCTGCATATACATATCTTCATAACCCTAGCGTCACCGAACCTTAAGTGTGTAGACCCTACGGGTTCGGGAGACAAGCAGACATGACCGAGACGACTCTCCGGTCAATAACCAACAGCGGGATCTGGATACCCATGTTGGCTCCCACATGCTCCACGATGATCTCATCGGATGAACCACGATGTCGAGGATTTAATCAATCCCGTACGCTATTCCCTTTGTCTATCGATATGTTACTTGCCCGAGATTCGATCATCGGTATCCCAATACCTCGTTCAATCTCGTTACCGGCAAGTCACTTTACTCGTACCGTAATGCATGATCCCGTGACCAGACACTTGGTCACTCTGAGCTCATTATGATGATGCATTACCGAGTGGGCCCAGTGATACCTCTCCGTCATACGGAGTGACAAATCCCAGTCTTGATCCATGTCGCCCAACAGACACTTTCGGAGATACCCGTAGTCTACCTTTATAGTCACCCAGTTACGTTGTGACGTTTGGCATACCCAAAGCACTCCTACGGTATCCGGGAGTTACACGATCTCATGGTCTAAGGAAAAGATACTTTAACATTGGAAAACTCTAGCAAACGAACTATACGATCTTGTGCTATGTTTAGGATTGGGTCTTGTCCATCACATCATTCTCCCAATGATGTGATCTCGTTATCAATGACATCCAGTGTCCATAGTCAGGAAACCATGACTATCTGTTGATCAACGAGCTAGCCAACTAGAGGCTTACTAGGGACAGTTAGTGTCTGTTATTCACACATGTATTACGATTTCCGGATAACACAATTATAGCATGAATAAAGACAATTATCATGAACAAGGAAATATAATAATAATGCTTTTATTATTGCCTCTAGGGCATATTTCCAACAGTCTCCCACTTGCACTAGAGTCAATAATCTAGTTACATTGTGATGAATCGAACACCCATGGAATTCTGGTGTTGATCATGTTTTGCTCTAGGGAGAGGTTTAGTCAACGGATCTGCTACATTCAGGTCCGTATGTACTTTACAAATCTCTATGTCTCCATCTTGAACATTTTCACGAATGGAGTTGAAGCGACGCTTGATGTGCCTTGTCTTCTTGTAAAACCTGGGCTCCTTGGCAAGTGCAATAGCTCCAGTGTTGTCACAGAAGAGCTTGATCGGCCCCGACGCATTGGGTATGACTCCTAGGTCGGTGATGAACTCCTTCACCCATATTGCTTCATGTGCTGCCTCCGAGGCTGCCATGTACTCCGCTTCACATGTAGATCCCGCCACGACGCTTTGCTTGCAACTGCACCAGCTTACTGCCCCACCATTCAAAATATACACGTATCCGGTTTGTGACTTAGAGTCATCCAGATCTGTGTCGAAGCTAGCGTCGACGTAACCCTTTACGACGAGCTCTTCGTCACCTCCATAAACGAGAAACATTTCCTTAGTCCTTTTCAGGTACTTCAGGATATTCTTGACCGCTGTCCAGTGTTCCTTGCCGGGATTACTTTGGTACCTTCCTACCAAACTTACGGCAAGGTTAACATCAGGTCTGGTACACAACATGGCATACATAATAGAACCTATGGCTGAGGCATAGGGGATGACGCTCATCTCTTCTATATCTTCTGCCGTGGTCGGACATTGAGCTGAGCTCAATTTCATACCTTGCAACACAGGCAAGAACCCCTTCTTGGATTGATCCATATTGAACTTCTTCAATATCTTATCA